TATAAAAGGGCATTATTTAATACGTCTGATAATTTTGTCTTTGCAATAAGCATTGGGTACAGTGGCTCTAAGACGTGCAATCCACGCTCGTCGATGTAAGATTCAAATATTCGGCCGTTTTAGGTTATCGATATAACCTAAACAGTCTTGATGCTTTCAGTTAAGACCCCCACATACAACAACTGAGGAACAGTATATAAAAAGGGCTTTCTGCTCTGAGGTAATAAGTGGCTTGCGGGGCCCTTGCCTTGTAAGCTGCGATTACCGACAAAGGCTCCTGGCCGGTTAAGCAGGGAGAAGCTCCGACAGCCTTAATGCTTTGCAGGGTTGGCAAAGTATCACAGTGTGTTAAATGTTCGTCTGACCTAAATAGCTCCCTTGGCGGTATGTCAAAAAGTTGCAAAGACTTAAATGACACACTGGGAAGACATTAAATTTCACTAATAACTCACAGGGCAATTTTTTCGCGTTGCAAAGCGCTCGTGGTCTAAAATCCACAGCAAACGGATTCCAGACCCTTTCCTACCTCTAAAATAGTTGACAGGTTTGTCATAAATAGTAAGCAGTTGAGAAGTGCTGATTGTGGTTGTTGGGGTGGTGGTGGGAGGAGGAGGAGGGGGGGTGTCTTAGTAGTTAAGCGAGCGGGAAAGAAATTGTCGGCCAAGTTCTTCATGCGTTGAGGACTTTTTACATTAATGCGGTGGAAAAATGCATATTTGCATGTACCTCGACATGGTCTATAAAGAAGGTACCATAACAGAGTTTGTTTATTAAACCTGAGCCCAAATGAACTTTGCCGACTTCTGTTCCGCTTGGAATTCCCAGTAAATTATTTCCTACCGTTGATGGAATTAAAAACACAGCATCTATGACAAACTGTACTAACCCATAACCAAGAAGGCAGAGTAGAACAGGAAAAAACTGCAACATGATTTCCAGATAATCTTCTTCATATAATTGAGGAAGCCTTAGCAACAAATTTGGCGCTTCCATTCATTAACACTGAATTCATAGTCACTCTCGAGTTCAAATACTCCCTTGCAATCAACTCTTCTCCTACCTTTTAGTAATAGGGCGGGAGCCTGAGTACAATTTTTGACATTTCATAAGAATTTCTTAACCACACCAACTTGTTACTACCCACCACTTCTTTAATAGCCTTATCTTGTAGTATCGAGAGCATTAGAACTTGAGTAAAGTTGGCAAGTGCCTAATTTTATATTGCTACAGTTGTAAAAATATCCTCGCTAATATTTGGTTCGTCTGTTTTGAATAATTTTATTCAAAACATCACCGTTTTTGGTGAGTATGGGGCGTGTAGGTTATTTATTCTTAGTTTGTTTCAACCTGAGGCTAAGCATATTTACGCTACACCCTTTTGGTTGTCTTGATAGGCGATAAAGGCGACACTCAAAGTTGTTAGTAATCTCAAAGTAAACCAGCGCAACTATATACAATAATTGTTTTACATAAATTACGGAATTTATCCCTAAGAGATCACGTTCAACATATGGTATGTGCATGCCCCTCTAAGATCAAGCTCTACACTTAAGACAGGTAAATTCAGTTATAGAACCTTAGCGGTTTTTAACCACCCTAGACAGAATATCGAATATCCGGGTCGGATACGCCCTCAAAGCTTTGAGATGGTCAAAACACTCTTACGGGGGATGCATGGACGCCCAGGTCAAGACTAAGAGGTATGTGCTTAATAATACCCGAACATATGAAAAAGTCATTTCTTGGATGTCCACAGGACTTCTGTTTTCCCCTCTAGGATCTTGAGTTTGCTGCAACGCTGATCTTATTGTTAGATTTCCCACCATGTCAAAATATGGATCCTCTCTGAGGAATCTGGAATTCATTTATTAAGGTAAGAGGTACTGATACCTTAATAAATGATATTAACTTCAATTTTTATGCTAAATTCGTAATGCATTACTATTACCTTTATTTAAAAGGTGTGAGTATATAATGATTTTCCTTTGAGGGTGTAGACTCGTACCAGGTGCATTGTAATAAGAAACAAATACAAATAAAATAATAGATCACAGTATAATAAAGTTAAACCTTTCACCCCATTTAAAAAATAATAAATTCAACACTAATTAGTGTAATCACTAAAATACACAAAATTGCATCCACACAACACTAATGAAATGAACATAGATTTCAATATTTATTGCAATAAATAAAAAATAAACAGAGGTGATCGTTTGCAAAAAAATAGTCAAACTGTCTGCTTAATAAAAAACCTTCTTTTCGCATCTCGTTTTCCTTTTCCCGGTGCCACTTTTTTTGTTCTTTTACATGATATTACACTTTTTTACCCCCACGTTAGAAAGTGGATCAAGTTTTAGTAATTATCATGTCTTCCGATTCAATTTTCGAAAGGCCCCAACTTGGGTAAAAGCTGATAGCCTTTGTAACTAATTAAGTAGTTGTAGAATTTTTTTTTTTTCATTTGTATAACATTGAAAAGTTTTGTAGTAAACTTGGAAATTTTGTTACACGCTATCATGTTGACCGGTATCTTCAAGGAAACCTTAGGTATAGTATATAAGGGTTTCTTCTCCTAACTCTGGCTTCTAGCGGTTTTCCAACACCCTAAGCCTAATGGGGTAAGCCTGGACCCCTCGCTACTCCCTTAGTCTTTCAGGGAGCTATGAGACTCCTTCAGGGAATTTTGGGAGTCCACTTGAACCCTTAGGAGATTAAGCGCTCTGCGTTCTAACTAAGGTGAAGAAGAAAAGTACAAAATTACGAGTACAAGCCTTACTTAATTTTTAAAATTTTTTATTTAAGACTTTTCCTGGTGTTCACTAGAGTCAACACTAGAGCTATCGACCAGGAGTGCTCGCAGGCATACTACTTCTCAGTCTTAGATCTATTTCATTATATTTTCTTGTTATATGTAGATGAGGGTTGACAGCCTGAGGGCACAACCTTATCATGGTGTGTGCGTCGCGCTCTTTCTTTTTTGTGTTTGCTAGGTGGCGAGCGTTATGTCACTCAGGCACTCAAAAGGGATCAAATAAATTATTACAGCTTTTCTTTAATTAAACTAACTCAATATAATATCTCTATGTAATATGATATATTTTATATATCCTCATTTCTTTATAATTATACTATAGTGTTAAATTATAAACCAACAGCTGCGAAACAAAAACTAGTGCTTAATGCGCGTCACGTGCATAGTCCCATGGTTCGTAAGTAAGCTCACTCGCTTGCAGGCTAACATTCATACAAATATTTGGCAAATTTTTTAAATAACACAAGCGAAAACAACTTTTTTATACAAAATAAGAGATAAAGAAAAAAAATTAATTTGTGTTTAAGTAAAAAGAAAGTTTTTAAAGCTTCGTCACATTTGGATTTTGCTCAACCGCTTAAAATTAAAAATTGATAAATTTAAATTCAAACAATCCATTGGCTAAATAACCAATGAATACCCAGCTTTCTCAATATGCTGAAGAAATACTGCAGGTAGAGAGTAGGTAACCGCCGTTGTTGTATATGTTGTTTCAGTCTGCTTACATTTAATTAAGGTTAACTTGATTTCTCTTTTAAATTTTAGCACAGGTGATTTATGCCCCTGACTAGTCGGTCATAAAAGGCATATTATTTATTTTTTTTTTTTTGGGTCAGTCATATATACCATAAAAGTTTTTAGTAGGTCGTAGGTAAAACTATTACCAGTAGTACTTGAAAGCATTCCATAATTATATTAATATTATGTAATTATGGTACTTATGTTATTAAACTAAAGGGTAGCAGTCAGCTAATATCCGGAAGCAAAGTCTGCAATCTAGGACCTATTATTCTTGTTGCGCTTGACTTAACGAGGCAGAAGTCTATGTTTTTAATTTAAACATTAACTCCTTTTTTGTGTTGTCGGCTTAAAAAGTGTGATTATGGTTTATTTAAGGCTTCGTAAATCTCGCTAAGGATGGTAGTACTTAGAGCACCCAAATTACTTACCTGTTTTTTTCGCTACAAGAAAATTAGTCAGAGAAATAGAATTTGCACAAATCTTCTTTGAAAATTTACTTGAAACAGTAGAAATTCAAGAGTAAAAAGAGCTTTAAATACTCAGAATATGAACATATCAATTACTAAGGAATATAAAGCAAGTTTTTCATCATCTTTTTGAAACACGCTTGCCACTAAATTTGCATGTTTTATTACTAAAATTTTTTTAAAAACGAATCTTTACTAATTATGAAGGCACTTTTGCAGGCTTTCAGTAATCTCCAAACGTAGGCTAAATCTTTATGAAAATACTCGAAGAACCTTTTACTATAAATCCTTCCTTCTACAAAAATTTTTTAATTAAAATAGGCTTTTCGTTATTATAAAGTTCGTTGTAAAAGTACTGAAGAATGCCGTTTCCTCGATTATTAACTTGTGAACTTTTATGCACTAACTTTAATATAAATTAAGTAAAAATGACTCTGAAATCAACTTACCACTTCAACACAAGTTTTTTAACAAATTTTTTAAATTTTAAAAAGCTAAGAGTACTTCTTTTAAATATTAAAAAAGTAGCTCGACAAGATAGCTTCTCTCGCGTAACTTTCAAGAGACAGGTTTTAACTCTACGAGAGCGGCATATAAAGCGTGGAAACTAATTTAATTACAGACTCAAGCCAAAAAATAAGCGGTATTTTTTAAGACAATCTACGATTAGTACATAAAAGCTAAACAAAAAGTGTGGTGATGCTACTTCATAACGAATTAGCAGCAAGGGTGCCCCACTAAATAAACTTAGTAGAAGTAGAAGAAATCATAGAGCCCTCCTAAAAAAAAGCAACGAGTGAGACTTCCCAGCAAACTTTGTGGTGGTGCTTAACCAAATAGCTTAAAACTTTAACGTCCAATACCCCCAATTATTTAAAATAAGAAAAATATTAAGTTTTCTAGTATGATAACTTCTTTCTTTACAAACTTGCTACAGAAAGCCGGAGGCAAATAATAATAAAAGAAGATTCTAAAGAATTTAAAGCAGTAGTTATTCGGGATCGGGGACAAATCTCTCCTCCAGTGTATCATCAGTGGCTTGCGCTTCCCCAAGAGACTCCCTATCCTCTGGAATTGTTCGTATTATTGAAGTATTAAAACTTTTACAGGGAAGACAGCGGTTGCCTAAAAAAATATTAGAATAAAATTAAAATAAAAGGACTTTAAAAGGTGGTCACCATAAAAGTGAAAGGAAGTTGTCGATTTGGCGAGGCAGTCGTTGCAAAGAATTTCAACCGACCACTTGCAATAAGCTGGTGGCATGGGCATTTGAGTGGCTGCCTGTTTAAATAACAGAACACTTAAAAGTAAAAAGTATGATTTTTAAAAACAAGAGACAAAATAACAAGCACCTCAAGAAGCGCGTCGTACTCAGCACTTTGAAAAGCTGTCCTTTTGCAAAGGGGGCATCTAAACTGTCCTGACTTGGCGTATTCCTTCCAGCAATCGGCATGAATGGCTAATTATAATTAACAAAAAATTCATGAAATAGCCAAGTCAAGTACCGTGGCCACAACTCATAAATATAATAGGTCTGACAGAATCGTGCATATAAACGTAGCAAATAGGACAATTGTCCTCCGAGGCGCCTGGAAGGCAATAATGTTTTTCCTCATCAGTATCGCAAGGAAAGCACACCTTGCCTTAGAAAAAAAGCTAAACCTAAAAACAATACGGGACAGAACAATAAGTACAACGGTGGCAGTGGAAAAAAATCTTTTCAGCGGAGCCTACGCGACATATGCCTGAGCACCGATACCATAAGGCTAAATTAGATTTTATAAATTATCAAACTTATGTTTATAAAAACCGCAGTCACTGCAATGGTATATTTTCTTGCTTTTATCATTGGACCAAAACTTACAAATTTCGCAAAAATAGTAAGTATTTTTGAAAGCATCACAGCCGGAGTTTACACAAGCAGGGCCAACTTTTTGCACGAAACCACAATGCTTACCTTGAAAAAAGATAATTATAAATTTATTAAAGTTAAAAAACAATTCAAAAGAGTAACCGAGAATATAAACATTTTCAATAAATAATAATAGATAACTACAAAGTTTAAAAGGTATAATTATAAGTAATTAGCTTACATCTCATCTTTTTAGTAGAAAAACGGTCTATTGTGTGATCAGAAACCTTCTCATCGTGACATAATCGGCAGCCCATATAAAAACAAGCAGAAAGGCCGACTATTCAAATAGCTTAATAATAAACAATAGAATTACCATAAAAGCGGCCACAACACTCGGCTTTAATTTCATTGTCCCTCACGTAATGGGGACAGGCTACAGATATTATAAATGACTTTTTAGAAAACTTCTATTATATAACAACTCAGAAGTTACGAACCATCACAAACCGAATCTGAGGAATCAACTGTATCTAACTCTTCCTCCATAGTAGAAAAATAAACAAAAACTAACCTTTTTAAAAAATAATAAGTAGCAAAAAGTTTAAGAGGAACCCGAAGTATAAAGATTAATAAAAAAAAAGATCCGCTACCTTAGAAGATTAGCTAAGAAATAGTTTTTAATAAAATATTTCCAATAAAATACTTAAACATAATGAACCATTAACCTCCTACAACTGCCTGCGTTTAAAAAATTGTAGAAGCCTAGAGTTTTGCAGTTCTTACTCCTTAACTTATTATGAGATATACACTGCTTAAAAACTGTATATTAAATGGTCACAAAGTAAACACGTGGACTATATAAGTAGAAAAGTATTCATTGTAAAAACCAATCAAGTTGTTGTAAATTGCTTTTCACCATACTTTGCGCGGAACAACCGGGTCGCAAATCGGGGCGGCTACCTCTTTGAGGCCTCCGCTGGAGAACGCGGACTGAGAACCCTAGGGCCACAGCATCCTACACACGTGGAGGAGAAGTCGGGCATAAGGACGTGCTTGGTTGCCGTCTTACGGGTCGTCTTACGAGGTATACGGTCTCCAGCGATTATTTGTGGTGCTCGAGAAACTGTCATTGAAGTATTTGCCTTTCCTGCTCGAATTGAGTAAAAAGTTAGCTCAAAGACATACACCCGGTCTTACATGAATTGGACCAACTCGAGTTACTCGGGAAGATACTCTTATCGTTCCCGACACTACTGGAACTTTCGCTTCACTCAACAGTGTTATCGTCGGCTTCGAGCGCGAGGTAAAAAAAGTCCGCATTAATGTAACCTCGACAACGCCTTAACTGTCTTCTTAAGGAGCTAAAGGCGATAATTTGCGAGAGTCGGTGTTCATCCAAGTGTTCATGGCTTTCAACGCGTCGAAGGAAAACTGGTGCTAAACCCCCTACACTCGCACATCAAAAAAAGCTGGATGACGCAACTTAACAACCAATAAGAAACAAATTAAACGAAGTATCGAAGTTGGTGATAACGGACGCGTCTCCCTTTAGAATTTGACGGGTGTGACGGCCATACCGTACCTCCTAAACCGTTGACAACGCGCCCCTTGAATCGAGTTTTTCTCTCGACTAATACAACTGCTTTCCTGGAAATTATCTACCACAGATGAGATTGAATTGATTTCTAATGCGCTACCGAGGCAAATCTCTTTTCCTTCAGGATACCCCAAACCCGAAGTTGAAACTTCGTCAACTCGGTTATGGCCTCCGACTTTTTTCCCGTGCGATGGAAAGTGGTGGTACTCGTGGTGCTACCAAAGAGTCCGCAACTGGCACCAAAGCTACGCAAGTACCGACTCATCAGTTCTTTCGTCGACAGTTGGTGAGGCAGCCAGAACAGTTATACTAAATCGTTTGAAGGCGGTTTAGTAAAATTTTACCGAAGTTTCGATTATAGTTTCGATAAGATCACTCAATCACCCACATATTCGGCATTGACTTTCTCAACGTTAATGAGGTTATTGACCGAGTATGGCACAAAGACCTACCACGAAAGCTGCATGGTTTGGCGATTCCACGTGACCTTCGAGATGTGCTCAATTGTACCTAAACTACCACGTGCGAGTGTGCGCCGCGTTTTAGCCGTCTCGCCATCTCGCAATGGGAGCTTTTCTAGCACGCTGCTATTTACTCCATATGAGCTATACGCCCCCGTCAGTTCACCTTCACGCGCGGGTCATTCCTTTAGGCCGGTATACGATTGCCATTTGTGGTCACAGTTCCTCATATTATTACGTCAGCATTTACAACTCTATTCCGACGGACTTGTAAGTGGTGACGTCGTTAAAACCTCTTCGTTAATGCAGCAAGTGTTAATTTCTACCACGCATAAAAGCGAACACCCGCCTTTAAGGTGAAGAAATTCATTTATTAAGGTAGGAGCTTTAAAATAAACCCGTATTTTATTTAAAGACCTCATTTTAACTTTTAGTACATTATATTTAATACATTAACCATTCACCTCAACTCCAAATTTAGTAAAAATTAATTTTTTTTTTAAGGGTTTAGCGGGCTTGAACTGGAGCAGTTAAACTGTTGACCTGTTAGATTTTAAAACACGTTGAAAAGTGGATGTACGCCTAAAAGGTGCAGTAAATCAGTTAAGATATAACAAAATATAACAAGAGGAAGGTCATAAGAGGGAAATGAGGGCTATTTTTTTGTAATTATATTTTTTCCATTTCGAAACAGTTTTGATGTACTGAGAGTTTTTAATTCTAGAGATACGTTATAACCTTTCAGGATGTTAGTACCAAGCCCTAATACATTCCTCTACCTTATTAATTAATGCTAATTTTCATTCTTTATAAACAGTTCAATATCTAAATAATTTTAGGGGGGGAAAGGAGACGAACCCGAAACAGTTGGACCCTTGCTTTGTTTTTTTTGTTTATAGATATTATTTATTGGTAGTACCTCTACTACATACCCGACTATATATAAACTTACGATTATAAGACCAGGTCTAGAGGCAACCACAAAGCCAATGTCTGGGTCAGTACCTAGCTGCTTGTTTTATGACGTGTACTTTTTCGTAAATATATATTTTAAATTAAAATATACTAAATGAAACAAACAGTGACGTTAATGCCTTTAACGATATTTGAGCAAATAATGAATTGTGCTGAAATATCTCGCAGGTATATTCTCATGAAAGATTCGGGAGTGTGTGTGAATTTAGTAACACATGTTCTAAAGTTCAAATGCAAGTAGGGAAAGATGTACCTCACTCCCGAAAGGCATTCCATGTCCACTAAGATTAATATTTTAGGGGTGCAGCAGACAGTTTATAAAAATGAAAAAACACTATTTAATAGAAAAATTTATTACTCAACAAGAAATAAATATACTATAATTTACAAAAACACAAACATAAAATACAAAACTTTTAAGCCATAAAATAAATTCGAAAATAAAAAATCATAAATGAGAATTTAGAGGAACGAAAACTACCTTAATTATCATATGTTCCAAGTAAGAGAAGTAACTAATACAGAAATAATATTCATACTTGTTTGTTAGAACCCGATGGCGACCTTAAGATGGGCGTCCACTTTATGGCGTGGTGAGAATTCTAACAATACTTACTATTTAATTGGATACAAAATAAATTTTTATACATAAATTTGCATTTTTATTTATTAAGTTGTATCGGTTTAAGATTCTCAGAATTTAGTCAGTGTTATGAATCAATATATAAAATGCACGATTGAGAATTTTATGAGAACAACATTAGATACGCAATCGTCAAAGCCCAAGAAAGGGTTCGCCTCGGTGGGTAACAAGGCTAACGTAAAGTCATCAAACCGGGATCGAGGGTTGTTGTCGTATTCAGCGGTTAAGAGTATTGCGCGTACCCAAGGTCGTGGGTTCGATTCCCACCGGCGCAACTGTCTTTTTCTGTTTGTAATGGTCGCGTATTTACCCTCGCCCTCATAAATTCTAACAGTGGGAATCGGACCCACGACCTTGAATATGTGCATCAATGCCATTTGGTACTGCGACATTGACTTTGCGCATCGCCGCTATAGCTACGGAGCTGAGGTGATACACACACCCCTGGCAAATAAATTACATGTCCACTTTTTGTTATTAAGAGCTAAAAAGTTAAAATGCAAAACAATACATGCATGTAGTGTATCTGGCTGCTTGTTTGTCTGAAACAAAAATTAAATGGGTATAGCGCGCAGTTGATTCTATTTCTTTCCTACTCGTTAGTTAAGAGACGCTATAGTTTAAACGAAAGAACTACTCAAGAAATCAGTCAGAAATAACTAACATAGGGAATTAATACGGAAGAAAAACCGAACATTAAACCGGTCTTTTTGCAAAAAATTTTATCCTATTTTCATTTTTTGTATATAAGCAAACTTACTCAGTTACCCTGAAAAAAAAATCTAAATATTAGTTTCAATATTTCTTGTTTTACTACCACTTATCATAATAACAACAAATGTAATAATAGTAGTTAGTGTAATAGTAATTAATGCTCAGAGTTTTTATAACTTAAAAAAGGTGCTCTTTTCCATAGTTTTTCTAAATTACAAATATTCTGAACTAATATTTGCTTTCCACAAATTGATAGCTCTGAAATGATAGTTATGCCTTCTTTGGGTGAGCCTGCACCCTTTCTTCTGAAGTGAATAAAGGTTAAGCGGCAGGGTTGATGTATATTCTTGCCTGTGGCAAGTCGATTTTAATATTTATAATAAAATTAATTGCAATTATTACGTTTTTTTAATATATTTTAATGTATATTTATGAGACCATATATGCTTTTAATCTTTACATATTCTAATAAAACCGGCCTTTGTTCGTAGGGGCAAACTTATTTTTGTGCTCACGCAAACCACGTTAGGCTTAAGTACTACCTTAGTAGTTCCGACAAGGGAGGAACACTGGAGTAGGGGCGTCTATCCCTATGGAAAGTTGCGGAGAGGAGGCTGAAGAAAAAGAATTTCTCGCTCAGCTTATCTCGGTCTCCGCTATATAAAAACAATCGCTTTTAACTCCTGGTTCTTATTTTTTTTTTTATAATTTAGATTATTGTGCCGAAAGTTTTTGTCCCCCCTCTTAACTTTGCTATGGTAGAACCCGGCATCTATCGCTCTGGTTATCCCGGTTAGTCTGCCTTAAAATCCGCTATTAGGGCTGGCTAGCTAATTTCTACTTTTAGGGAAAAAGAATTTTCCTTTTCTTAAGCAGCTAAATATTAAGACAATAATGTAATTTTGTAGCACTGATTTCTTTTGTGGAGAGCTCCGTACTATTCTTTTACTGTTACTAGTTGCTTGGATCCAGTACAGTATCGTAATGAAGATTATTTAATAGCGGAAAACGTCAAACTGTTTCAGTATCCTGTTAATAAAAATAAGGTTCTTAAAACTACTTACGTTTTTTATGTCTGTCGGTTTTTGAGGGTTTTAAAAGGTATCTCTACTTAAAGGAACCACTCACTTTAATACCTCAATATCTTCTTGCTGACGCACTTTCAAGGATGTTAGGTTAGTATAATCTATTCGGGAACAAGAGGCCATAATAGTTATTACATACTTTTTTTTCTCCTTATTAACTTTATCAACGCTCACTTAGACAGACAATCTATAAACTAGTAAATTATTATTTTATTGACAAAAATCTTAGATAAAGCGAATTATCCGATTCTCGTTCACTGCAACAAAGGAAAGGTGAGTGAACAGTTATTTATAATAATAATAACGAAACCTATAGTACTACTTTAATAAGAAAGGTATATCGCTTCAATAATCTTTAAAAAGCGATCGAGTCGAAGTTCTTTTGTAGTGTCAGCACTTTTTACAAGATATGTTTTAATCTCTTAAAATGTAAGTGAGCGGGTTTGGCGTTATCAAAAGTAGTGCGCTTCCCAGCTCAAAAAATAGTTAACCATATTTATTTTTAAATAATATTATCAAACTTTTAAAAATATGTTTCAGCCTTCTATATTTTTAAAGTGTATTATAACTTGGTGTCTACAGTATCGCGTAGGATGCGCCGTGGGCTGCCTGCGTAAACTTCAAAATTTATCGAAGACTTTTATTTTTGCGGAATATCAAAAGTTTTCAGGAGCAAAGGTAACAAAACACGCTAAGCCAATATTAAAGTTTTGAAGTGAAAAAAACGTGGCTGCTAGGCTCGCGTGCTGGATCAGCAGTACATCGAGCTATTCGACGTATCACTGGTTAAATATGATAAAGAAAGCGCTCCAGAGTGGCTGTGAATATAGCTTGCGAAAAGATCAACGGAAGGCCAGATTATAAGACTTGGCAATTAGTGACTCGCCGTGAGCTGCGTAGCCAGTTCCTTTAGTTATTTCACAGTAAATTTTTTTTAAATAAAAAGTAAAACCATAAGCGAGATACCTCCGTGTTTGATGTGGATTAAACCGGCGAGGGTGCAGGGCCTGCTACAGAGCGGACAGGCTATAAATAGAATGGAATAACGGAAAAACTAGATAAATTTAGAAAATGTACTGAAACCTAAATCGCTTTTCACAAACTTATCAACGCAAACCTCGCAGATGACGTGGCCACACTTTCGTAGAACTATCAAAAGGGCAACTTTTTTTTTTTTATAACATAATAATTTTTTAATATAAACCAAAAGTCTTTCTATTATTATTGAGAGCTTTAGCGCAACCGGGGCATGTCCACCGATTATTTTTATCCTGCTTCTCAGGAGCTCCTTAGGTCATATACGTTAATTTTTTTCTCGGAGTGCTTATGCGTTTGTGCTTTACCATTTTTATGCACGGGGATAAAATTAACAGTTACTAATTTACTCGCCCTAAACAAATAGTTAGTCAAACCCAGCTTGGTATAATTTTGAGAACAAAAATATTACATTAGTTTGTGGGGCGGATCGCTTCCGAAACACTTAATATCCGTAGAAGGCTCTTTGAGGAGAGTAGGGGCTGCTGTTGGGGTCAGTGACGGCTAGGAAACAAACTATTCAAGTACTAGCCTACAGAAAGTAATAGTATTACAATCCAGAAAGAAGACATAGATTTTTCGTCCGCGCTAATTCCCACATTAAAATTCTGCAAAAATAAAAGTTCTTGAAAAAATAACTTAAAAAATGCACACGTAATAAAACCTTATCTCTATTAGATTCTTTTATAAGAACAGCGCCGCGGGCGGTTTCTCTAATATTCCCGTAGAGCTCTATGTGGTATTCAATATATGATTGGTATAGGGAATAAAAAGGCCCAGAAAAGCGTTACGTTCTTTACTAGCAGCAATAACGGAGCGGCCATCCTCTCTGATAGTCCTTTTCCGGCCAGAGGAAGAGGGCAAAACACTTAACTAAAGTTTGATAATAAAAATAGTTAAAGTGCTACAATATTATATAACAACCTGTGAGCTTTCAAAGTCTTTAATAACTTTTTGCCGTTTTTCCAATTCTTCTTTAGATTTTATTTGCTGAAAATAAAATATATCGGTACAGCAACGTCTTAGAGACCTACTAAAACGAAGTGTTCACCTCGAGTTCTTGTAGTTGTCTTTCATAGGCTTGCCTTTTACACTCATTATCTTGCTTTTGCTGTATAATAAGTTTTAAAACGCACTCTCGGCAAGTCAGATGACCCCTTTGGCTTAAGGAATTACATTAGTTAACGAGTAACTTAATCATATATAACTAAAACTTTTAATAGAGTTAAGAGCTACTTTTTAATAAAGCTAGATGAAAAAGAAATAATAGAGACAATGCTAAACGTTTATTATTGTAGGTTAAAAAAACTATCATAAGTTATATAAATAAAGAGAAAAAACATAAAAAAATGCAAGCAAATAGAAGATAACTTCGCGAAAAGGGTTAAAGAAAAACAGAAAAGACATTAAAAATCTAGTTCAATCTTATAATTTAAACAGAATAAAAAAGGCTATTTAATACCATATTACTGGATCCCGAGCGCATTGAAGACAAAGGTAGCAAACATCAAAGTCTCTGCAAGAAGCGCGTCCTATTCTAACCTAGTGTATATATGGTGCTACTTTGTAAGACAAGAACGTCTAGTAGAAAGTTATTATTTTAAAATTAGTAAGAAAAAATACTCGTTGGGTGCCGTATCCCAATTGCTGTTTCTCTTGGCGAGTAAAAAAACCAAGAGCTGTGTTATTTTTGGAATGCCTAGGCATATCCGTCAGAGCAGCAAAATAGCACAAAAATCTTTTAAAGTTTACCCCACCCCTCCCCTATGTCTAGCCACCAACCGTAAAATCTCGAGGTGTTAAGTTAAGGCCCCCCCCTCGCATGGTTCCTCAAGCTTGGCTGTAGCGCCTATATTAATAAAATTGAAACGAGAAGGGGTGATAGAGTTATTAAACTATTCTACAAATACACTCAGAAGACAAATATTAGGTGAACTGTGCATGCAGCTTACAAAATATACTATTTTTTTTATATAAAATGGTATTATTAGAGTTTTATCGGGTCAATAAACACCGAATTTCCGAGTTCTTGATGGGGTGATTGGCGTACAAATTGGATTAAAGCTTGTAGCAATATCAAATACATATTTTACCTTAAGTCCTGACCTTTTTTAAATATACAACCAATATCTGAAGTGCTTTACGCGAAAGGCAATAGTGTGCTCGGTAACCTGCTCGTAGGTGGTAGTAGCATTACTTCGAAAAACGGTATCAGCTGCTCAGGCTGGAGTCATTGAGTTTGAGAAGTAGCAGCTTGTACTGTCTAACACAATAAGAGTATACCACCACACCTAAGGCAAAATTTAAAACACAAAATACAAAAGCGCAATCTACGAAAAACAAAAATAAACATAAGACACATACATAAACACAAAAGTACAAACACGAATCGCTGCACTAAATTTTCACCGGCAAAAATGAACCGGGATTAATTTAATCAGAAACCTGAGAAATAACCAATAAACACACCGAAAAGAGAAACTAATATTTCAACGCAAAAAATTGAAGTTGACCTTATTAATCGGATAAAACTAAACAGAGGAAAATTAAAATTTTATCTGGTTCAATTAAATTTACTTTGGAAGCATATTACAACCTTTTGTAAAGGTATGAATACAGACCGAAACTGGCCAATAAAGCAACCCGGCTATGACGAGGATCAACGTATCCTCTGCATCTAGGGCAATCCGCCTGTGGAGCATTGTCCGCACATGTATTAAAGATACGATCCACATCACGTTAAAAAGAATAGTAAGGAGAGCTACGGCGCGTTCTAAAGCGAACCCTTGAGACAAACTCGGTTAAGCGCTTTTTCGACTTCAAGGAAACCGGCGCCTGTTGCTTATATAAAAAAAACTGAATGCACATGTCCTGTATCCTGTCGGGCGGAGGAGCTGTTGCGCCGTTAAATGTCCGCCAAATGTAAATTGGAACTCTGACCGGGCATGATTTGCGGTAACAAACGCTTTTAAGTACGCGGTATGGCAGCCGCAACTACTTTGCCAACGGCTAACAAGAGGCTGATAAGCCTGTATTTTTTTTTAACTTAGAGGCTGGTGGAAGTGTCTTTGGGGGCCTTACAAAGAATTTTTCTCCTCTGCAATGAAAAGGAGTCGAGATCATCTCAAGTTGACAGTACGCTTCACCGTCATTACCGGCCTTTGCTTCAGCATTACTTTAATGATACCATCTGGTCAGGTGCCTTCCGTCTCGGTAGAGCTTTAATAATCTCTTTATTTTAACTGTGGTAAATGGGTCAAGCTGCTCTGTGGCCTCAACGAGGAAGTATGACTTGGAAAGCATCGCTGTAGCGAGGTGCTGAGCAACTGCCACTAAGTCGTCGTCTCGTAGAAGGGGTAGTGGTAGACACCCCCAGCTTCTGTATTTTTCCTGACAAACTAACAGAAGAAACGCGGCTGTCATTGCCAGCCCCAAAGATTTGGTTCAACTTTGTCTCCTAATGACAGTTGTAGTGCGTCAACAGCTCTTTGCTAATGCGGCAGTGTAATCAATTAAGCGGAAATTGGTCTTTGAGGCGTTGGGGCGCCGTGGCCACTTGAATAAGGCGTCGACGCTCACAGCTAGGGGTCCTTCAGTTCAATTGGGGGAACGGTAAGGGCAGTACTTAAGTTCACGTGTTCTTGTGGCGGTGTGGTACGCTAAGCTCACAGCTCTAAATTTGACAACAGCAACGTCAAGTGGGCTGGGTCTCCTGAGTAATGCCGAAGATGTTAAAAAGAGCGTTTTGAAGGGTTCAGAGGATTTATACCAGTCCTTAAAAGTGGGTTTTAAAATGAAGGTAACAATGGTGGTGACCAATTTTGATCACAAGTTTCATGAATTACTATAAAGTGAACTTTTAAAAAAATTCTGATTTCTTATTTAACAACAAGGAAGCTGTGGCAAATTTTAATGCATATAAAGCCTCGTGAACCAAAAAGTTTATAAAGCACTAATTTATCTTTGTTATTACCCCGTTTTTGTAAATAAAAATAATGTTATTTTGGCTTAAGTGTCTTTGTGGCGGTTTGGTACGCTGAGCTCACGGCGCCTTTAATTTAACAACAGCAACTTCGTGTAGGGCGGTTATCCCCAATAAACGCCGAAAGATATACTACCAAATGGTTGATTTTTATACAAAACTTTTTAACCAGTATGAGTGCAACAAAATTTCCCACACGCCCTTCGCAAAAACATAAAATAAAAAAAAAAATCTTTCACCTTCTGAATATGTTGTTGCTGAAGCTGAATAAAGACCAACATATATACCCCCTGAAATTTTTTAAATTCACTTCTATTAAAATTTCGTTTAAAAATTTTTTAGATCTTGAAACTATAAAAATAGATTTTAATTGATAAAATTATGAAGAAGCAACTCTCCTACCTGTAAAACAAGTTACTGCATGCTGTCACGGCGAGTGAGGAGTGGTTTATGAGGAAACAATGCTTTACATAGAGAACTCCAGCTGGCGTCTTTAAGTAACATTTTAACAATGCCATGCCATCATCTCCCCGGCTAACCGATTTTACCAGCTAGGAGCGATGGGATGGCTTACGCGTCGGCGTAATGCACTACTTGCATATTTGTTGTTAGAAGGGTTAGAGCTAGGACTGGAGGCTTTAACGAAGATTAAAAAAAACATTGGGATCCGATAAATAATATATTTTAAATTAGAATAAATGTTTATTAAACAATTAATAGGTGACACTTTATCAAAATTTTTAAATAAATAAATGTATAAAAGATATATATATTAAAGTAAAGGTGCTTTTACTGACCAGTTCGGACTGTATTTATACCTTTACAAAAGGTTGAAATAAGCTTCCATATATGTACAATAAATTTAATTGAACCAGATAATTTTTACTTTGTTTAGTTTGCATCCAATTAATAAGCTAGTTTAAATTAAATTTTTTGTGTTGAAATTTAAGTTCTCTTTTCTTGTATTTTTATTGGTTGATTCTCGATTCCTGATTGGATTTAATCACCGATCACTTTCCTGTAAAAAAATAGAGGGTTAGTGTTTTGTGTTTGTTTATGGTTGTGTAACTTATACTTAATGCATTCTACAATGTTTTTTGTAATCTACTTTTTTTTTTTTCTATTTGTGTTTTGTGTTTTCATGTTTTGGTATCTTTGAAATTGTGTCTTTTAAATGTCATGTATTAAGTTATTGTGTTACACTACATAGATGCTGCCACCTATGAACTTCAATACTTAGGCATAATGAATTTAAATATATTACCATTAACAAAGCCCCTTAGTATAGAAAAATCTTCGCTGCAACATTGATACTTCACAAGGAGAAAAGTAACGCCAAAACTCTCTGCTAGTGGTTATCAACAAATATCTGTTATTGATTATAAAAAAATATTTTTTCTCCAGTTTTTTCTATAGACTCTTCATATAGTACTCAACGTGCAAATTAAAAGAACAAATGCCGATACATCTTACTGATAACTACCGCAAAATTTAAAAGACTAGGTACACTCACATCCCTGAAGACATCTATTCGATAAAAAATTTACTGAGACAAAAGAAAAACGATTAAGCCAAAAGGAATCAATTGTGGTTGAAAATAAGCGTATATTTTGACCTAACCGGCTGACGGTATTCTGACTTTTCAACTCAACTAACGGCATCTTAAGAAGAACAAGGGACAAGAGGCCCGCAACTGCAACTTTATTGTTGTTAAAGTGTGTCTACACCACGAAAGTAACATGCATAAACAAAAGACCGCGAGGGCAAAATGAGACGACCAAAAAAAAAATATAGATAATGAGTTAATAATTTTAATTTATTAATGATTTTTGCGGATGCTTGGCAAGTCGAGCGCAGACCGCTTACTCTTGGTCTGGGTGCAAGTAGGTGCCTATACATCTCCAAGGGGAGCATCATGGATGTTCTGAACTTTAGCGGGGGAAGTGCAGTACGTGGTTAGCCTCCAGGTCACCCACCGCAGAACTAACCAAGGTCCTGGAGATTTGACTTCTCAGGTCGGACGGGATGAAGGGCTTTTTGCCAGTGCACTTCCCCCTTAATTATTAACTGAGTTACCTTCTGAGGTATTTATAGAAATATTCATGAGCCTTTTCCACTCGTGGTCGGAAGCAAAAAAGATTGGTATCAATTACTAAATTGATGTCATTGTTAAAGATAGTTATAATAGTAATCTAAAGGTTTTTTGCTCATAGTAGTGATCCTAAAAGATTATTATCTATAATAAAAATTTGCATTAATGTTAAATTTCAGTATTAATAAGCAAAAGAAGCAAAGATATAAATATATAAACTGTGTGATTCATTAGCATGGTTTAAAAAAAACACTAGACTTTTTTATCTTGACTTAAACGATTACGAAGACGGCTATAAGTAAGTGTATTGGTTAAGTGCATATTTACACAGAAAAATAAATGTTGTTGTCGTCATATATTGTGATTGCATTATTCAAGGAGACGCTAATAAATTTCTTACTAATATGCGTGAAGAATACAAAATTAAGGACTTAATATAGTTAACTGATATATTGAGTATATATGTATAAACATTAATTAAAAATTTATTTCACTTTGTAAAGAGTCTACAATTAAGCAACTTGCAGCAAAATATGGTTTGAACACCACAACAAAGGTTTATATTTTCATATCTAAAATATACAACATGTAACCTCCTATTAACACTGATGACAACAATGAAAAGATAAAAGCCTTGTAGGTTACTAAAGAATATATCTGACAGTACATATTCGGGTATAGCATAAGTAACTACTTCTCGATAAAAAGGTTGTTGTCGAAAGTGTACCCTTACTAAGGATTAATCGCGCCCAACTGGGGGAAGTCCTCTTTTGGAGTTGTAGTTAATTTGGACAGTTTTTACTAAACGAGGGGGCATATGAAAACTGCTAAAAAGACTTTAATTTACCCCTAATAAACACGGCTTATGAAGCTTATAACCGATAATTTCTCACTGGTAACAATACTATCATAGTAAGTCCCTGTGAATCTCATGGGCCTGTAATGTGATTACCATATTATGGGTTATATAATTTTTCTACCGGGAAGCTAATACAATGGTAAACTAAAATTGATATAAGCACTATTAATTAGTAAATCTTTTTGTGAAGCTGGATATGTAGCTCTTAGTAAACACTAAAGAATTTCTTTCTAATACACCACAGTGCAAAAAATTATACAGGTAGCGAGGTTATAATGAATATTTTTAGTAAAATTGCCTTTATTAAAAATATTACGTCATATCATATTGCCTATCATGAAGGTTAAACAAGCAATGAAGCGCAGAAGCTATAATGTAATAATGTAAACATATATAATTAAGACATAGTTGATATATTCACGAAAGCGCTTTCCTCTTAAAGACGTGGCACATCTTTAAAACAAATTTTTTTTAAAAAAACTTAACCAGAATACGATTTTATAACGAGATTTCATATATTTAATTTAACGGAAATTTATTGCATTTTATTAGAAAAAAGAATGTCTTAATATTCAATCATCCATAACTTAAAAACCTATTAAAATGTTTTACATTATATAATAGTATACTTAATTTTAAAAATATGGTGATTGCGTCGGTTTATTTAATTATCCCTCTCTCTCCTAGGTTTTGTTTCATTTTATATTATTTTTTCTTTATTATTACATACCTATTCAAACATATTTGTTCATATATATTTCTAGTTTTCATAGTCTACGGCAGCATCACTAAAGTGGCTGTTTCCTATAGTGTTGAAAGCCTACACTTTCTGATCTTAATGAATTTATAAACATTTTTCTGCTAAAAACATGCCCATCCTAGGCATTAAGGATGTTACTACACTTTTGTAGGCAGCATTAGCAACGCCTTGAAGGATTTTCAAATTGCGGAAGGTCACTATACATGTTATTAGTAAGCGCCAGCAGATGCAGCATAAGTAGTTCATCGTGCAAGATGCTATCGAAAGTTTAAGGGATCCAACCTCCTTGAATCGCGCAACATCCTTAACGTTAGGTTATGAAAAAACTATCAAGTTAAATATTTTTATTGCTTAAAGGGCAACTACTTAGGGCCAAGCACTGATGTTACCCTAAAAAAGGCGTTTTGGAAAAAGAAACCAAACAATAAGGTAACAGGGCTATATAAAATGTATAGCGATAAGTATTCCATCCTTTTTGTCATACTGAAAATTATTGGGACTTGGCCTTCAAAAACTTTTAGCGTTACAGTGAATAAAAATCGCTTAAGGAACACCATAGTAAAAGCTTTTATTAATTTTATTTTACAGCCATGTTTATATATTCTCGGCAAATTTGCTTTATGTTAAAAGTAGAATAACTTAACTAGCTTGCAAAAATTTAGTAGAATATGTTAGTAATTTTATTTTATATTAACTACTGATTGAGGATGAGGTACAAACTAAAAATAAACTTTGCTAACGAAAAAGTACTATAATTATAAAATTCGGGTATAAAATATAAATAAAAACTCAGAAAACCAAAACGCTGATCGCCTGCTCTAAGATATTTTTTTCACAAAAATAAATTACGTAAAAAATATGATGTAAGCTTAGCATACAGGTAAAAAAATAACCTATTACCTACAAAATACTCGGCATGAGTTGCAAACAGATTTAAACTCTTAGAAATAGTCATAATTACTTATATTGAATAATAATGACACTTATAATATTAACAAGAAAAAAAAAATAAAAATGGAAGGAAAGGGGTTAATAATAAAAAAAGCAAATCGATATAGTATAACAGAAAAATTTTAAAAAAAATTATAATGTGAATTTCTCTACAACAAACTTAAAAATAAAATAAGCTCTAAAAGTTATAACTGTTCTCCATACTCAAAATAAATTTATCAATATAAACCAAATAAACTTAAGGCAAGGCTAAAAGACTAAAAATTTTAGTAGTAATACCTTCTAAAAATGGAAGTTAGAAGACTATAAGCTTTATTGCCTATCTTAAAATTAATTTTCAGTGTTTTATAAAAAATTTCAACCAAAAGACAACCCTTTTAAAGATTAAAGCTGGAGTGTAAGTCCCGATTACGATAGTAAATATCTTTCTCTTGTAAATCCTCCACTAAGTAAGGGGGGAGTTCACCAGTTATTGAAATTGCATAACAACCCTTACCAAAACGAGCTTGTGATAATAAAGATTTAACATTTAAATAAATATAAGAATTCTATGTATAAACCGATCCTTTGCCACTTGGCCACCCAAGAATTTTGTGGTTGCATTAAGGAAATTACACTGTTGGAAAAGAAAAAAAATCTAAAAAAGTATTATTATATACATTAAAGCTATGTATGACCCCTCAAAGTTGCTGCTTGTGCATTCTTCGATGCGTTGCAGAGAATTTTTTATTTCTAAAAACTCTTCACAGTTATTACACCCTTCCTTAAAGAATTGCGATTCGGTCTGAAAAGTATAAATAATAAAGACACTTAATAGATTGTAATTTTATCGTACTTTAATTAAAGAGCATAAGAGACACGCTCGCAAATCTTTTAGATTAGTAGGGACGACGTCCATGCTAAAATGATGGGTGAGGAGACCACAATTTATCCCTCATGTAACATAAGGCGCCGGGATGAGTTCTTATCTCGTTTTTCCATTATAAATTACTCCCAACATAAATACTCTTATGTGCACGTGTTACCAAATTTGCACAAGTTATAAAATGTTTTAATAATTATCGGCCATTACGGTTAATTAAAACCGGTTACGCATTTTAATGCATTTTAAGATCAGTATATATTTGCTTGGATAACGTACCTTCTACCTCACTTTTTTAATTCGGCCGCAGACATAAAGCAATATAGTAAAAATCTGTTTCTGTTTCCTTCCTATTTTTAAGTCATTGCTTAGGTGCTATAATTAATTTATGAAACTACGCGTACCGAGTGCGAGAATTAGAATAAAAATTTTGCTATAACACCCTGAATGAAGTAGAATGCTAACAACTTTATTTAAGAATGGTAATTTATAACCGTCGGCTGGTATTGAAGGCATATTGGTTGTGAGTAATCAATAGCGAGAGTAATGGGTGTATTATAGTAAACAACGATAAAAGTTGTGAAGGGTGATGACGGAAGCTTTGCAAGCTTTAAATAATGAAATGAATACCAGATCGAAAAGGTGTCGTATCGCTGGCAGCCCCTTTTATTTCAAAAAAAACTTAGGTCAATTAAATTTAAACCAAAAAGCAGACGAGTATTATGGGGTACGATATTTCTATAGTTTGGAAAACATAAAGTTAGAACAAAATATTGAAATCCTTCATAAGTTCAGTAAGAGAGAATTGGAGAGCATTGGAAAAGTATTGTGAAATTAAAAATGGCATTAAGTTAAACCAATTGCTGTGACGTAATAAGCCATGACTTGAGGTTACTGACGGATATTCGAATAGCCGAGGTGGACATATATAAAAGATTAATGGAAGATTTTAAAGAAAATGTAATGATGGTAAAAAGAAACCACCAACCACCTAAGGTCAAAGAGGAAACTTTTGGTAAATATAGAGTTATTACTTGAGATGATAGTAAGTTTCGCCGCAATTAATTCTTAGTACTAGAAAAGTGGTTTTTGAAAAGTGGTGTATATAGCAATTCTAAAGATTGTGTATACAAATTTCACAATAAAATCTAAAGTGAAATAATAGTAATAGTGATGAAGTACTAGAGACCTCTAAAGCGGTTATTACTTGTGGGTTGATTCTAGACGCAGAAAGCAGTTTTATCCTCAAGGCTTCTGAAAAGCGTTTATAATTAGATTAACTTTCTACGTAAGCAAACCACATTTGGAAAGAGAAGGTAGTATTAACTATCTGTCACCGGAATAATAAGACAGCGTAGATTCAATTAGATGTAGTTAATCACGATATGCATAGGACTGTAGACATATTTACGGAGTGCCGGTTTGAGAAGTTTAGTTATTAAATCTCCGCAATGAAAGAAAATGTCATTAATGAGAGCGTTTAATCACTTAAGCTAAAATTTAATGAGGTGATGGTTGCCCATTTAATGATGGTTTTTAATGATATTATAAGAATTGCACGTATAATTGCCGTGAATGATATAGAGAATCAGCTTATGAGTTTTATATGTAATTAAGTGAAGGTTAACCATGTAAGACATTAAGCTTGGAGGGTACACATTGTAACATGGATCCGAAACTGGAGCCTCTGAAGGAGAACTAATGGAGAATATTTCTCTTGCCTTGTGCAAATACGTTATCAAAGATAAAACCAAATCACATTTATTATAAGAGAGTGCAAAAACTTCTTGAGGCTGGCAAGCTAGAAGAAACCACTGATGAATATTGAATTCATAACAAGTGTTTGTAGAATAGCTATGTATTAAGTCTCTACTTTTTAAGGTACTTGTGGTGGTATTTAAGCTAGTATTACAGTTTATTTTTTTATCTCTTTTAAACACAAAGTCATTTTTGAATTTGCATCAGTTCCTTATGATGACATATTGAAAGCCATCTCAACATAGAGAAATGACCAAGTTTGCGGAGGTGAATGAGTTTAATTTTTTTGTATTCTATAGATTTCAATATTTCCAGAACTTTATATGATATGTGACTAAACTTGTAGTGCTTTTTCCCCCTTCGAATTATAAAGTGCTTAAGCAATTATAATTTTTTTAGTTGTGTAACTCGCGGTTACTTCATTTAATTCCTATTTAACCGTGGGTAACAGGTATCTTACCCTTATTTTATATTTAAATTTAACCTATACTCGACCAGTTTATCCACTAAAATTGAGTTTTCTGTAATAGATTAAATATGACGCCAATTCTGGACCCCAGTATAATAGTTTTACGTATATAACCGGTTAGTCTAAAAATTGGGTGTTATAATGATTTAGCTTTATCAAAAAATTTAAGATGGGTATATTTAATAATGTAATAGTTACATATACTAAATAAAATATATATAGGTTAATCAATTGATATATGTTATACTTTATCAATATGCCCAATTTATTATAATAGGTGCATTTGCTATTTATAAAAAGAACAAATCTTCCTAATATGGCGCCCCCTACCCTTTATTATGTAGGTGTAACGAATGTTTTGCTGGTATTGTGTTTGGTTAAAAGTTTACAAATCGATATTTTTATGTAATGTGTTAGTATAGTTGCCTTTTTTAGTTTTCATTTTCGGACTGTGTGGTACGCGTGGTTCTCGATTGGTAATAGTGTATGCGAGGGTTGCTCCGAAAGATTTGTAGTTAGTAGATGCCCATAACCTGGTGAAGCTAAGTTATAAAGTTATGTATGTAAGCTAGCTAATAGCGCGTCTCGAGAGATCTGCTAATGGGGCTTGTGCATCTCATTTTTTTACTACGAATATAAGTAATCTTACTTATTTATATATTTATTACTGCCACGGAAACTTTAATTCATACTCTATTTAATTATATATACAAAGCCTAAACTAATACTTTATTTATTTATATATATATATATATCTATTTTACTTATCTAACTTATATTAATTTTTATTTTTTACTGTATTACCTTATTTACTTATATATATTGCTTAACATAGCTCTTGTTCCTTCTGGTGAAGATCCCACAGTCTACTTCGCTGGGATACTAGCTTTAATTGAAAAGCTGAAAAAAGATTTAAAAGTAGCGCTAAACAGAATTAACGAGCTAATATCTGTTCACTTTAAAGATGTAGCGAAAACAAGAGAAATGTTATCAATCTCTTGCAAACCTGAACCTTTCTTTAATGCCTGCTTAAGTTCTTTTTCTGGTCTACCTTTACAAGACGAAAGCACTGATATAAACGAATCTCCGCCTTTCTTGATTGACTTAATTTACAAAACAATCAGTTTTCCACTCGACCACGCCCCACAGAACAAAAAACTTAATCTATTAACAGCGAAAAACTTTTGAAGACAAAGATAAAATTTTACTCATAATTATTCTTAAGAAACAACAGTGACCAGATGTAGTTTCCCTATTGCGTGAAAAAGACGTTATCAATTTGTCATTTATGACATTAGAGTATCGCTGTCCTCCTCAAGATTTTTGACGGGCTACAAAATTATTATTAGAAAGTAATTACGAGTTTTACAGTTTTTGGCTTCCTGAGGTAAACCTTTAAAAGTGGTGCTGAGAGGAATTTTACCCGGACTTTACTGGAGCGCACTTGAGGAAAACTTAAGCAATCGAGGTACTTACCCACTAAAAGTCGTTCGTATGAAATGTTTTTGGAAAGAACGAAAAGCTCTTCCTTTAGTGCTAGTACATTTGCCAGATATACAAAATAACTTTAGATGGTCATCTTTTAATTACGGTTGAAGGATTTTAGAATTCAACCATAATTGGCCAGTGCCGCCGCTGACAACTTTTTGGCCATAATTCCACTTTTTTACCTCTACCTTAAGGTATGTCAAATGTGGAAGCAACCATGAAACTGCCGGCTGCACGAAGACGCCAATGTCTCTTTGAAATGCGCTAACTGTCCGCTAACTACCGAGGTTGCCCTTATCACATAAGAAATTCTCACATGCGCAAATATTTGTCCTCAACAAATCGCACAACAGGGCTATACACTCCTAGATAATTAATTGCACTGCTTCCAGGAATTCTCAAAATAAAGAAGAACTTTCTCTAGAAAGTAATTCAACCTGTCAACAAGAAGAGCTACGATCCGCCGGTATCATGAAGACAAAGTCTAAAGACTATGAACATTATATAAATAATATACGAACGACCATTTCAGCAATGGCAAGTATGTTAAACGATCTTCTTAAGTCTTTATGGTAACCTCTCGTCGTAAGCTTAGATATATTCGCATTTTATTTTGCAACGCGGCACTCTTTTGTGCAAAAAGAGAAGAATTTCAGCAATTTCTTAATAGCCAGAAAATTGATATTACCTTAAGTACTGTGACCCATCTAAAACCAGTACATCTTATAAATTTTTCAGTTACGTGCTTTACCGGCATGGTAAGAACTACTCGAGAAAAGAGGGAGCAGACATTATTATTAAAAAGCAGATAGATCACTCATTTATACCGCTTGTCAATTTAAATGTTATCGATGCAATGGCAATCAAAGCAATCTTTATGGCCACCTGGACGTGGATATCGCTTCTGCATATAGGTCTCCAGTACTCTCTTGGTTACCTGAAAAGCTGGACAGTATTTTTAACCATCGCGAAGCTGTAATTCTTTGCGGGGATTTGAACCGCAAAGATCCTTCTTGGAATAGTAAAGTGGGAAATCCTAACGGACTTGGACTGTACAACTACGTTGAAAAAAGAGGTTTCCTTGTTTCCAGTCCTTTAGAACCTAACACACATATTTACATAACGGGTCTTAGATGTACTTGACCTTGCCATTACATGCAACCTACGAATTGATCCCAACTTAGTTACGCTAGTGGGTCTCTCCCCGAACCACTCTCTCATGCCTTACGAAATTGGTCTTTAGGAGTAGCACTTTCAATTACATACGGAGGTATAAGGACTGGAGTAAATTTTAAAGAAGTGATTACAGAAGCCATTGGGGACAGTTCAATTACT